GATCCGGCCAAGTATCTGGAAATTGCGAAAGCGGTCGTCCACGTGGTCCGAGGGTCGACCGCCGGTCGTGGTGGAGGCGCGTTTCGCGTGCCGATCGCGGCCGCAGGACCCGTCGTTCCCGGGAATCATGTAATTTGGGGAAAGTGCATCGGGCCGGGTCGGGAGACCGATGACGAGAGGATCCGCAGTCGCGGCAGCCGGCAGTTTGGAAAATTGCATGCGCCGGCGAGCCGAGCTCCCTCGCGTGGGTAACGGGCCATTTGTTTTTCATTGTCCCTCCCTCCCGGGCCGCGTCGCGTCTCGCTTTTCGGTCCAATTCGTCCGACGAGCCGCCACGTTTTCCGGCTTATCCGGCCCGCCGGGCTGAACGGGCCTCGCGACAAAAGTTGCCGGGTCCGGGGACCGGGTGCAGCGACTCCGCGCCTCCCAAGGTGGCCGCGACTCTAGCTCCCGACGTGCCTCGATTCCCTCCGCCCTCGACTCGGCCATGAATATTTTATAGCGATATACCCGGCCCGCGACTCGAATCCCTCGATTCCCCGGGTATTTCAAAGAGGGGGAGCGGGGCGCTTCCTGGGGGGCTCCTTTGTTGGACGGTCTCTCCTCATAGGAGGACGGAGAGGCGGAATTCGGAGGGACTTTGAATCGAGTCTTCTTAACTCGGGGATGTTCCGGCCACCGGGTGGACGATGGGCCCTCGGACGACTCCCCTTCCTCGGATTAATCCGCCGCTCGGGGATAACTGCGGAAACGTCGCGGCGCCGCCGGAAACACGGTCCGCCTCGATGGGAAGGTGCGGCTCCGCGATCGAATGTCGAGAAGACACCGAACGCCCGACCGAATTGGAATTGATTTCCATAAAATGATGGGATGCCCCGCAAAGACCCGGGATGTACCCGTAGACGCGGCCGAACCGCAAGCCGGCCGCGCGCTCGCCGAAATTAAAGAGAGACCCCGTTGCCCCCCGGCCGCCACCCCGGATGGGGTTTCCGGCCCCGGGGTGCCAGATATCGCAAAACGGCTCCAATAAAACTTGTTCCATGGGTCGTTGGCTGCAACTTTTGTCGGGACAATTTTCCCGAATTCCCGACGCACGAGCGCGTGGACGACCTCGGATCTTCTTCTATCTCCGGTGGCGGAGGCGGGATCGAGTCGACATGCGTCGACGGGGAGGCGGCCAGGCATTCGCAATTTTCCCTGATATCCGGGGCTCATATTGTAAAACTCTCGACGGACGGTTCCAATATCGGCGCTCCTCTCGAGGGGCGACCCTGATTGCAAGGCGAGGTGTCCGCTCGGTCTTGTTCCACTCGGCTCCATCCGGTCCCGTTCCGTCCCGGCCGCGCCGAGTCCCGGTCGACCCGGAGCTCCTCCACGTAAACGACGCGATCGATCGGAATAAAGTGGTACACGGTGGGTCAAGAAACGCCGTTATTGGAGCCCCGAGTATCCGGATAAACATCCCCCTCGACCAAATACCCGCGTTTGAGGCGATTGGAAACCGTGGACGCCATTTTTACACGTTTCCCGAGACACCGGAACTTACACCGAGAGAAAAAAAGAAATTGGTCCACTCAATGAAATTCTCATATTTCAAAAAAATCCTGCGATCGAATACGGCCAAAGAAATGCCAGATCGAGCAGAGAAAATTAAATCAACGGTATAATCATTCTTCTTGGCAAAATAATTGTTTCTTGCAATTGTGTGCGCTTCAGGCGACTATATATGTATATATAATTTTTTGTCAAATAATTTTTTTCCTCAGTGTACGATGCTCATCGTGGCCCTCCTCGGTTCCCATAAAGTGGACGTCGAAGCTCTGCCTTGGGATAAAAAGAAAAATACCCCCGGAAGGCCACGGGTTAGACTACCTCGGTTATTCCTTCCGGTGTCCGGTCTAACTCGAGCGGCCGTGCCGGTGCAAGAGAAATTTCGGAATACGTTTCGAAGTTCCGACCCGGCGAGATCACTCCACCCGATTCCCGACAACGGGTCCGCTTAGAAGTTCCCAAGTAATGCACTTTAATGAATAAAGATCGGGGAGTTTGGCCGGCAAAGAGGAGGCGGCCGGCTTTTCTCGCCTCCGTAGACGGAAAAGTTTCCGCGAGCGCCCGAGACGTCGCGACCCTTCCGCCCGGAAAAAAGCGGGGACGGAGGACGAAGGATTCGCCCCCCTCCGTGGAAATGGCCAATAATGGGAATTCGGAAAAATAGGGAATTTTTGAAACCCTCCCTCGAGTTTCTTTCTCTCTCTCTCCGCGTCGTTGACAAGCCGGATTTCCGCGCCAAATTCGTTTCGGTCGCCCCGGACGACTCGGGCAAAAATGTCCCCGGCCGTTCCTTATCCTTTGCGGGGGGAGGCTCTAATTGAAGGTAATCGCTCCCCCAATTACTGGCGAGTGCATCGCACTTAAAGATCTTCGGATACGAGGGCTCCGCCAAGTGGAGCGAACCTCGCGTAAATTTCCCGTCAAATGGACCAGACCGCGAATCCCGTCCAGGGGGAGGGTCGAATGAAAATCCCCGAGGACCTTTCCCGTACCGACGCTAAATCCAGAGGCAATTACTAATTTCGTTCCTCTTCTAAACATGCCCGGGCAGGCTGTTGCCTTATTTCGCGAACGGGGTCGGCCAGAAATTACATAACATAATTTTGCCCAACAATTTTCGGGCAATTTCGGTGTCGCCCCTCCGGACCTACGTTACCACGAGCTTCCTTGCCCATTTTGAGCAGTCCTCCCTTTCCTCGGCCATTAGCCCTTCCCGGTATTTTTAATTGGCAGCAAAGTCTCCGGAATGAGGAAACGCATCGAAAGGGAGGTTCCAAATATTTCCCGCGGAATGGGGTAAGACTTTGTAGCGTGTACAAAATATATACAGCAATCAGGGAAAATAATGAAATTATGATATGATACTTGGTTACCTTTGTTAAGGTATGTCACCCCCGACTTACGCGTCGTGTCATTATTTTTATTTTAATTTTTTTAACCGTCAAGATTTAAAGTCTCTTGCGTCGATTTGCAGGAATTTCCGTCTATTCCCCAGGCCAAAAGTGTGTAATTAACGGGCAACCTCGATGCGGCAAGTTTCATCCCTCAAAGGGACGAGGTACCGATAGAGGGGCTTAATCGGGGGACGGCTCGACTGTGTGATAAATGTCGAAAAGAGGAGATAGGGGAACGGTATCGGGCCTGGTTAGTGGCTGTGGACCGAGGGTTGATTTATCGAAAATTAATATGCCGCGCCCCGATAAGGGAGCATATATTCTCGCCCTTAGGCGCCGAGAGGAAATTAACACTTCAAGGGTCTCGTCAGGGGCTAGAAACGCGTCCGCGTTATTTTCTACCCCTCAATCCCGGCGCGGCGTAACGAATGGCCGGGAATGGAGCCGAGAGTAAATTCCACCCCTGTGGGAGATACACATAGAAAAAGAGAGAGAGAAGAACGCATTAAATTCCGCCTGGGTATAAAGGTTCCGACAAAGAGAGACGCGGCCTCGAAAGGTATTTGGCGAAGAGTTCCCCAGGCGCGCCTTGATTCGCGAAAGGGAGGAAAGGTGGAGCGATAGGAAAAGTGGAGGAAAATGACGAAAGAGAGGGAGAGTAAATGGGCGAATTGCGGACTCGCGCGGGAAAAGACGAGGGAAAGGAAAAAGTCGGTGAATTTCCCGACTTGGCTAACGGGGAAGAAAAGTCATTAAAAATCAACCCGGAGGGGAAGCACGGGAGAGAAACGGCGGTATTCGAGACATATGCATGCCATTAAAGTTACCATGGGGGAGAAAGAGAGAAATTCAACGTCTTCCTTCTGGGTCCGTAACGTCCAGGAGATTTAACGACTGTGCAGAAGTGGGAAAGAAGGCGAAGAAAGGGGAATAAGTAAAGAAGGAAGACGAGAGCGGGCGGGTCGCTCGCGAAGGGCCTCGGAGCTGGATATAGATCACGGCGTTTTGTGTTACCCTTACCGGCTCTTTTTTGGAGTTATTCCTGGGGGCGGCCTCGTTTTATTAATTTCAATTGAAATAAAGTTCAGCCGAGGTCTTATTCCCTCTCACCTAGTTCGCGGAGCGCGTTTAACCTCACCCCCGGAGATCCACCCCCAGCCGGCACGGAGCGGCATGCAAATTTCGAGACTCTTAAAATAGATCCGATTTCGACGTCGCCCGGATTCCGCATGCAGTCGGGCTTACGTTTTCCGACGAGGAAGGGGAGGTCCGCCGGATTTTCGGCGACCTGGGGGTTGAAGGACCGAAAATCGAGGGCCAAGGGTGCGGAAAAACAAGGCCTTCCTTATCGAGGGCCCGAGGCCGCCCTCGCGGCTGCGGAAAACGGCGGATGCGCGATAAGGGAGGACACCGCTCGGAGGGTTTAGAGGGCCGTTTGCAATAAGGCGATCGCGTTTAAGGAGGTCGGCCGCACGTAATAACCGCCGGGGGGGGGGTTGAAAGGGGGAGGGGACGGTCAGCCGGGGGTCGCGTGGGGCATTCGACCCCCTCCCCGTTAACTTATGAGAAAGTTTCCGGATTGCCGCGTCCCGGGACCTTCCTCCAAGATATTAAGCTTGCCCCCGACCTTTCCCCCGGCGGGGTGCTGATCCCCCTTCGATGTGTGTCTCGGGGCTGCTACGTGTTCGCCATTTCAACCCCCGAGGAACGACCCGGAAGCGGAGCGGGAAATCTCATCGGAAAAGGGGGCCGACGTTTCCGCCGAGTTTTCCGCGCGGATTTATCCCGCCCTCCCCCTCCCCTCGATTGTCCGAGGACGGCCCGAGCATTCCGAGCACCCCGCCGGGGTTTTGGCGGATTTTTTTTCCCCGGGGTAGCCGATAACCGGGCCCGGGTCCCCTCGCGGAAACGCGGAGGATCCTTCGGGTTTCTAGTGAAATCTCGCCCCTTTGCCTCCTCCCCTAGGGACGACCGAAACGCGTGGCTAAGAGACCTCGAACTGACGAGACTTTTTCCCCGTTGGCTGGTTCCAGGACCTACTATGGAAGAGTAAGGATGATCGACGCGAAGCTGTGCCAGATAGTCCTGGTGCTGGTCGGCGGGACGCATTTCCTGCGTGCGGATCCCTCGGCCTCCCCCACCGCCAGAGGTGCCGGTAAGTTCGCAATCTTGACCAAAGTTATCCGAGTGGACCGAGAGCTGCCGAGCCGCGGAACTGCATATAAACTGTGCGGAAACTACAGAAATTCCCCGCTTCCGCCCTAAATACCGGGGGTGGTCGCGATCCGGACCAGTGCGCCCATCTTGCGGATCCTCGAGTATCCACCCCTCGTCGAATTTCCGGGAGACTCGCGCGCGCCGCGGATCATCCTCCAGGATTTCCTCGAAGAAATTTCTCCGGCACGACTGACTCCCGGAAGGGAAAGACGTGGGCCGCGGAATTAATTCGCGAGGGCCCACACGGCTTACCGAGGACACCCCCGGGGGGCTATTTCGGCGATAAATTCCCCGACAAGTAAGCCGCCCTTAAGCCCTGTTTAGCTAAACCGTAAACCGGCTAAAGTTACCGGGGTTCGGTCGGAGCTAATCTCGGCCCTTAACCGCGGGGCGGTATCTTTTACATGTTGCAAATTCGAGGAGATGCGCCCGTTCTTTCCTCCCCCTGGGGGTCCCGGGTGGTCCTGGGGGGTCCCCGGGATCAGGGGCGAGGATAAAGAGTCGAGGCGTGCGAGGAAAGGGGGAGAAGAAAATGACGCGACGGGTTCGGGGGATGAAAAAATGACGCGGAGGAGGACGGAGCGAGGCGTCCCGCCCTGGGTGCGAGAGAGAGGCGACGTCGTTAGACCCCGGTACTCGTCCTGTCCATCGTTTCGCGACAGCGGTTCATCCGTCCCATCCACGAGCCCTCGTCGTCCCCCCATCACCCGTCCCATTGTCTGCCACCGGGGCCGCCCCGACGCCCCGTCACATCTAGGCGAGGGGTCCCGTGTTACAATTATGACGCGTCGAAGATCGATACCACAGTATCCCGGTTTAATGGGACGCCCATCCCTGGGCCGGGAAAGGGCGACGAAACGCTTTTCCATCCCCACCACCCCCAGGACCGATTTTCCTTTTTTTCCCCATTTTTTCCCCACCTCGTTTCCACCCCCCGGGAACGAAACTGGCATTTTCGCGCCGACTTTGACTCTCCCCATCGGAGGATCTTCCGCCGTCTCGGTCCATCGAGACGATCGCGGTTCCCGGATGATCGCGCCAGGAACCGTTTATCCGGTAATCGAGTAAGGCAGGGTGGCGTTAACTCCTATTATCGTGTCACGACACGGCTCTCGGGTGTCGAGATAAAAGTTCTCGCACCTAACGGCCCGGCGGGTTTGCGAACGCGGCGGGAAACGCGCTGCGGAATGCCCCACTCGTAATGGTAACGGGCTATTATTTTACCACCCGGGACCGAGATAAGTGCCGTTTACATACGGGGGCGTTATGCTCGCCAACGGAATTTCCCGCGGGATCAGCACCCACGGGGAAGTCGAGATTTAAGGAGGGCGCCCCCCTTTCCTTGGCCCAATTATTTCGTCGCGCGTGATACCTCCGATATCTCCTGTAAAGTCCTCCTGTCACTCATGCGAATGTTTTCTCCCGTACTTTTGAGGGGTCGCGGAAAATTTAACCCTCTCGATAGCGGATATCAGGGTCCGGTCGGGATCCGCTCTCAGCGCGCAGAGGATGAGGCCCTAGGAGGGAACCTCGGAAAGGCAGGGCCGAGGCCCTCGGAAAATGACAGAGCGGAGGTCTCTCCGTCAAGTCGGGGAACTTCGTGACGAGTACGCACCCCGGTAGGTATTTAGACAGCTACAGGGCCCGCTACTCGCCCCAGCCAGCGGGTAACTCCGTAGACGTTAATTAGGGGTGCTTTACCGCGAGATTCGACGTTAAGTGAAACGTTCTGCGTCACCGACACCATTTAGCCGGGGCGTTTAGTCGCTCCTGACACCAGGACTTAGTCACCTTCCCCAAAATTCAGGGCATTCCGAAAATTCTCCCGGGAGGACCTCCCAGAATTCCGGGCAAACCGTCTCGTAAATCCGCTCGATACCGCTCGATACTCGACCGCGTCTGCCCATCCGCAGGGCCGTTATCGCGACTCCTCGGGGAGTTATTTCAATTTTTCCCCCGGGGAAACGCATTTAAACTGCAAACACACCGCAGTGCTTCCCGAAAGCTCCCGGAAAGCTTGCCGAAAGCTCCCGGCACTCGGCGGGGGCTTTGCCCCGTGATTTATTGGCGCTTTCCCGAGACCGCGCGAGATGAGCTTAAAACGTCGCCGGTTCGACGTTCCCTCGTCCTGGGACGAGCCGACGGTCTGACGAATTGCCGCAAGAACTACCCCGAGGGGGCGGGGTGGGAGGAAAAAAGCGCAAGCGATGAAGTCAAGAGGACGGGAGAATTTAATGACAGCGTCAACGGCGACGCGTCTCGCCGGCCTCGAGCACCCTGGAGGCCCCCGGGAGGCGCCACTTTGCCCTCTTCCCTTGGTCGCCCTAATCGAACGCTTAGAAGAAATTTTCTGGAATTTTCCGAGCTTCGGACCCGGACCGCGGACATTTTTCCACGGTCCGGGATCCGCGTTCGAACGGGTGCGGGGGATTTAACGCGGAGCGGTCGAGTGCCCTTCGATATTCGTTTCCACCCCTTTGCTGGCGCAGGGGGTTGGTCGATTGTTTAACGGGGTTTATCGCGATCTCGTGCGATGCGCTTTACACGGGCTCGCGAGGTGAATCTCGCTTTTGAATGAGCGCATTAATTTCACGGTAGGCTCCGGATATCATGAGCACCCTCCATCCCCCGGCGCTCTCCTCCCTCCCCTATTAGGATAATCAAACGTTTACCCCAGTTATTCCGCCCCATCGATTCGTTATAATCCCGTCGGGTCTCCCCCGTGCCCCCTCGACGTTCTTACCAGGTGAATTATGCCGCGACGCGGCTTTTCGTCCGCGCCTCCGTGAAATGGGGAAAAAGGAAAAATGGAAAACCGGGGAAAGATAACTCGGAACGAGCCCCTGGACGGGGGAGATTTCTGAAAAGCAGGGGGAGAGGGAGAATTCTTTCTTTTTTTTTTCCGCGGCGTTTCCGTAAGCCCCCCTGATAGTTTACGAGATTAAATTCCCGCGAAAGAAAGGGAAGAAAAAAGCCGCAGCTGATAATGGTCAACATAAAGATGAGGCCTTTTCGGGGAGGGGTCGGATGAAAACCCAAGGGATTTACCCGGGAATCCAGTTCCCCCGGGAGGGGAACCGTCCGTTGTTACGGCTGTCCGAAAATTCTTACGAGCTCCATTAACGACCGACTCTTTCGGGCCGGCGTTCGTTAATGCCGGGAAAGTCAGGGAAATGGGAACGGAAGGGCACAAAGGAGCCGGCTAGATCGAACGCGCCGGAAAGTTTAGGGTCTAATTTCCCTGTCGGGTGTCCTTCGACGATTCCGAGGCCGAGGATTAGTCCCCGGGGAATAATTCCAGCTTTCATGAGCAGGCTTCCTATTTCGGGCTGTAACTGCGCGGGAAATTGGCCGGCCGGTCCCACCCCCGCGGTGGGAAACCTCGGCGCAGGAAGGGAAAATTTCCGTCTGCGATTACGTCCTCTCGAACGAAAAAAAAAAAAAAGCCCTTTTCGGGACGACCCGCCAATGGTTGGCCGTCCGACGCGGAATTACGGCCCGCCACGGGAAGCCCACCCCCGCGTTTGTCAAATTTCGAAACGAGCGCGGAATTAACCCCATTTTTCCCATTTCACCGGCCCCTCTACTTATCCCGAGGAGCGCCGATGCGATTTCCTCCCTCTCGCCGGACGGATTCCGTCACCGGCCGGATAGCGGAAAACGGCTGGGATAAAAAATTCGCGCATCCCCTTTCGGCACCGGGTGCGACGTCGCGGCTCTTTTTCCCTCCCTCGAAGGTACGGAAGAAATCGCGAGGGGTCCGTAAAAGAAACCAACAACGGCCATATGCGAGGTCGTTTGCTTTTTCCTCGACCTACCCCGTAGACGGGGGTGCAATGGACCCGACCGGGCTGGTTCCTTCTACGAACGATCGATTCGCTCTGCGCTCTCGACATAAAGTCTCCGATGTCGCTCTCGCACATTGCCCGGGATATCCCGACCCTCGGGCGCGGACGTCGCCGCGGAATTGCGGCGATAACGCAACGGCCGAGCGCGTCTTTGAGCGTCGCGTTACGATTACGCACTCCGGGATATCCCGAGCGGAGTAAACGATCGCTTCGACTTTCCCCCTAAACGGGATTACGTCGACCCCTCGCCCACCCTAGACCTTGCGGAATAGAAATAAACCGCTACGGGGTGAGTTCGTGAAATCCGCACGGGACGTCTTCCTCGAAGGGTCCGAGCGAGTCTCTCGGCGGGATGGATCGGGGGAGGAAAAAGGGGGATAAAATTGCTAAGCGGTCGGAAGGTGGATTTAATGAAAACGCGGCCGAGCGGAATACCCGCGGAATTCCTAGGAAAATGCATTCCCACGCCGCCCCACATGGCCGCGGTCCGAAATTCGGGTGGAATTGGTTCCCGTGGGAATGCCCAGCTGGGATTCGTCGATAGGACTTCGCTTGGTCCAGGCTGCGTTCCTCTCCCAGTCTCGCGGGAGAGAAAAGAAGAGAAAAAATCAAGAAGAAGGAGGAAAAACGTGGAAAAATCGCCGACTTCCGCGGAGGCGCGTCTTTCGCGCGGCGGTACGACGACTCGAATCGATCGGCCGTTTAACCAACTACGTAATCCGCGGCTTGCCAACTTCGGGACCGCGTAATTCGGAAAGTTTTAATTAGTACTTCTTTGCCGGGAGAGCGGACGGCGCAAAGTATAAGGATCACGCGTCCCCGAGCACGGAGAGCCTCCCTTCGCGGGGGGTCGAACCTTCCGAACGGGACACGTATCGAACGAGTCCCGGGACAGCTTCGACGCACAGAAACAGGAGAAGTAGACAGAAGGAAAATCGCAATTTCGCGATTTCCCGATATAACAATTTCACAATCTCGCGATCTCACGATCCCGCCAAAGCCCGGCCGCACCGGAGAAGCGGTCGAATAACAAGCGGAAAAAGGAGGCGCGTGAGCTACTTCGAGGGGGCATTCGGGACAGAGAAGAGGA